GCCCCCCGAAAATTTCCGCAGCGATGCTTCAACAAGGATCTGCGGGTGCTGCGAGGCTTCCAGGGCTTGCGCCAGCTTGCTGCTAGTGACGCAGGATTTGAGTATCCAAACCCATTCGGCAGTACACTTGTCCTTCAGCGTGGCTCAGCTGAGCAGTAGAAGAGGGCCATATGGCCTGGGCATTGCAGGCCTGGCGCCAAACACGCGGCGTAAGGGTCACTGTGATTGGCGGGCTGAGCAGGGATCGAACCTGGTCTGTGCGTTCCTGGCTGATGTGTGACTGCAAGGCTAGACTGCGAGGCCAAGGCCTGCAGAGGGCAAGAAAAAGGGTCTACCCAGGACCTTACTCTGGAACTGGGCCCTGGTCTCTGATTCGCCACTGAAGGCCTGGGGCAATGAGGCAGTGCTGAGTGGCTCCGCAGCTGAAAGCGGAGATCACTGACATGAGCGCGCACTGGGTAAGGTCTGAACCGACTGCCATGTTCCTTGCCTAAGGGCAAGCCGAGCTCTGGGTTGGCTCGGCGATGTAGAATCGGCGGCAGTTGCAGGGCGTACGTCCAGAGGGCCTGACAACTGGTGTGGGCAAAAGGCCGGGCGGTCTTCTGCCATTTCTTCTGAAAGGCCATCGGGGGAGAATGAAAATGCTCTCCCCCAGAATTGTTTGCTGCGGTAAGGCATCGAGCCTAAATGCATGCAGGTCAAGAGGGTGGCATATGTACACGCGACCATCTGAGGTGTTGACCAGAAGGCTCGTTGGTGTACCTGCGCCGCAGCAGAGTCATGATCAGTCCGCAATATTAGGGCGGATGGGTGGTGCAACAAGACTATGCCTGTTTTCCTGCATCTGCTGCATACGGAGCGGTCGTAAGGAGGGCCAACGCACTGTGCAGGCTGCACAAGGAAGGCGATGGGTTGCAAACAAGACCAAGGCTTTACAGAAGACAGTTCTTATTAAACAGGAAAAGGAAAAGAGCGCACTGCGCGGCCCTCCTGAAGCTGAGTTGTGCGATCAGGCACAGGGCAAGGCATCAGTACATGGCGACATTGGGTTGCATGGATTCATAGCACCGGCTGCAATAGTGCGAAGTGTGCGTATCCTCGCACAGGGGAATCCTGTCGTTGATGATGCGGCCGCAGGCTGAGTGGAAAGGGCAGGGCGATGACGCACAAGCGCAGCACACTCGGGATTGGTCGTCCAGGTACCACGCTTTGGCGACTCCCCCTGCTCGCGCAGCCTTCATAGTGCAGGGCAGTCGCATAGCAGGAATTTGCGCACACTGCTCCAGTTGGGCGATAGTGCGTGTGTTCTCCTGCGGCTGCGCTAAGACTGCCATTCATTGCGTTTCCAGCAGGAGTCAATGCTGAAGGCGTGATGTTCTTCGTCAATGCGCGTGGCACACGTGGGGGGGCTGCTGAAAGGCAGGTCATAGAAGTTCATCCACCGTGTCCGGTGCAAGGCCCAAGTACTGCAGATCAGGCCTGGGCTCATGGAACCCGGATGAAGGCTGCGGGGGCCAGTCGCAAGGCGGGCTGCCTTGGGCGGGGGCCCGGGCGGAGGCCTCTGTGGCTCCGAAGGCAATGGTCTTGGCTTGGGTGCAGCCTTGGGAGCCACCTCTTGCTTAGCCGGCAGGGCATCGTCTGGCAAGTCCGGAGCGTTGGGCCAATTCGGAGCTGACGGCGAAGGGCGAGGCTTTGGTACCGCGGTTGAGGCAGTCTCTGGATTTGCCGGCAGTGCGTTTTGAGAAGTCACTGGTGCGGGTGCTGAGTCTGCCGGCGGGGCCTCGCGAGGCAGCTCGGGTGCGAGCTGGTCGGCCCAAGGCTTTTCATTTTTGCTGCAGGGCTGATACAAAAAAAATTCTGCCCTGGCAGGGTTGAAGAGAGGCACCAAGGGCGGCTCTTCAGTGCAAGGCTCTGGAAGGTCTTGAGTGGACGCCCCTTCAGGCGGCAAAGTTGAAGACTCATCCGTGGGAAGGGCGGCTTCTGGCAAAGGCGACGAGGATCTCGAGGCCGTCCGCTCACGCAGAGCTGTAAGCATGGCGGTCAAGGCTGCTTGGTTCTCTTCTGTCATGCTGGAGACAATGCCCATCAGGTCTGGCACTGAAGAGGGCACCTGGTCCGACATGCTTAAGGCAAGTGAATGGGGCCGAGCAGGAGCGTGGCGCGTTGCACACTGCTGAAATGGCTACAAACACAAGGCAGTGGTAGCAAACCAGATGCGCAAACAAAGCAGCTAGTCGGGGCACTTGATGACAAGGCTGCTGGAGAGCCAGCGCGAGCCTGTCATGATGCCCATGCACAAAAGCCAGAAAATGGCCTGGATGTGGCACAACTGTCAGATTAAGGCTACGGCAGAATGTGCCTGAGTCCGCCGATTGACTGTGCTTGTCAGAGCGGGTGTCAAGCAAGGCGCGAGCCACACACTTTTAAATCTGGGAGCATGAAGTGAGGTCCACTGGTTCGTGAGAGTGCATCTCCAAGGCTGGCAATGCGGGCATTGCAGGCTGAAGACGCACTATAATGAATTCAAGGTCTTCAAGGCAAGACAAAACCGCGTTCAGAAGGCGGGTTGTCTTAGGGCCAACACAGGCGTGCAAGAGTGAAACTAAGGCTGCCTCTGAGTGCTCGTGCCAGCGATGCTGCACTGCGAAGTTCCTGAAGTTCGGGTCGCAGGCAGCTGTCAGGAGACCCCTGGCTGAATGACTTGTTGTCTGGCCAAAGAAACATGCTGTAGGTTTGCTCCAGTCAAAGGCGGAGGCAAACAAGGCAAGGCTGTTCACGGTGAAGGTCTGGCCCTGATTGGCATATGCAATGGCAAAGGCGCACAGTGTCGCTGGCACAGTTAGCACTACTGCAAGCAACCCACAGCCACATTGGTGGTGGGCACTACTCGTTTAGCATGCCTTCAGGCACAGACAATTCCGCCACGGAAGCAAGCCTTAACAAGTTGTTCACGACCTCCTGGCCGTTGCAACTCTTCGTGCGGGGTCAATGTGCCTCCTGCTCCAGGCGCACCAGTGCCCTGGAAGCAGTGCTACTTTCAGCAATCCCGGTAAAAAGAACTGCGGCCGCTTCGGATGAGCTTTGTTCTTTTGAGGTTTCATGTTTGGGTTCAAGCTAGGAGCAGTGCAACATGCCTTAACAGGGCATTTTTAGACGGAAAAACACCCGAGCGATAATTTTTAGGAAGCAGTTCAAAACTGTTCATTTTTGAATCGGAGTTTGAAAGGAAAACGCTCCTAAGTCAGAATCGGCCAAGAAAACTTTAATCTGGTCATGATCGAATAGAAAATCCAAAAACGGAGCTCTGGAGCTGTCTGATCATGTTTGAGCAGGAAAGTGCGAAGGGACATGCTTCTAAGGCACAATCGCCGGAAGAGGATTGAAATTGAGTCTTTGAATAGGATTTCCTTGCTACTTACGCATATGCAGCAATGGGGGGGGGTTTCTCAGTGTCTCGCAGTGTGCAAATTGCCAATTGATAAACATTTATACACGTTTCGGCCGACAAGGACTTAGACATGTTTTCCTCCAGCGTGGCTTCGATCATGTTTTTGGAAAAGGGCATTCTCAAGGAAACACTCCCAAGCGAGAATTGGAGGAAACAACTTCAAAGGTGTAAGTTGTTTTTGGTAATACATAGAAGCGTTTTTAAGTGCGCAGGCAAGACTTCCACAGAAGATGGCATGCAGCATGATCATGAATAATAACAAATGCAAGCACACAACGGTCGGATTAGCATGCCTGCTCCACCATCCAAAATTAAAGAGCTGCAGGTACTTTCATGACACGAACAAGTTGAAGAAAAACGCATGGCGTTCGCTGAAAACAAAAACGTGGAAACCGCCCGCCTGATGGTGATCCGAGAAAGTGACCTCCAGAAGCCTAGTATCAACCTCCACGCCCTTTCCCTTTTCTGTAGCTAAGTGGGCCCTGGTACACATTGATCACATTGGGTGAGCTAGTTCGGAAAGCAGGATTCAGTTATTGAAAAAACATCAGGTTGCACAAATTGGTTTCTACACATATATAGTGACGGACATACTTAGAAACGATTTTGTTTTCCCAAAATTTCCGACAAACAAGCAGAAACAAAATAAAAACAAAACCTACACTTGGAAACGGTTCGGCCGACCAACACTTAGAATCGTTTTCCCTTTTGTGGTGATTATGATGCATAATATCAGCCGACAAACCCTTGGCACATTGGCACATTGGCACATTGGCACATTGGCACATTGGCACATTGGCACATTGGCACATTGGCACATTGGCACATTGGCCGCGTGCTATGCGAACATTTCGCCGCATGTGTCGTCTCACTTGGCTTTTTTGTGTCCGAAGCCATTGGCAGTCGTAGAAATCGCGTCCGAGTTGGCCATGCCGGAGGCGCCTGCTTCACTTTTGCCCATGCATGCGGAATTCCCGGACTGGCGCGTTCATGATCACTGGGCTGGAAGGAAGGGGATGGCGAGAAGAAGGCGCTTGCATGAGGGTAGGATACCCATGACGGCATGGCATAAGTCGTTGGAACATTGCAATGGCGAATTGGCAGGAGAAGGATGAAGAAGAAGAGCCAGAATTGTTCGTTGGCGACTGTGTGCGTTCCCTGATTGCAACCAGATGTGCTTCATGTCTGGTTGTGAGTGATTCGCTTGGTTTTACGTTGGTATACCAGCCTTTCCGGTTCCTAAGCTTAGCTTCACAGATGCTTAGTCCTTTACCATAGACCTTCTTTGAGCTGATTTATGGAGATTTGACCGCTAATCTCATGACATCTCCCTTTTGTAATACAGGAGAGGTGTATCACACCGTTCTCTGACAGCATGAGGAGCCAGAAGCAGAAGGGTTTTGCAGTTGTGACAATTTGTTTTCTGAGAGCGCGATCCTCCGAGGTATTGCCGGCAGCATGGCCGAAGTGAAGAAACACCTCGAGGCCTCAGTTCTCACTGGCGTTGCCTTGGCACATCGAGACATTGACAGTATTGGTCCAGGTTGTGGACATGACGTGGGAAGGAAGCTTTATGGGAGTTCTTGGAAAGAATGGAGTGGTGAAGGCACAACCTGCCTTTGAGTTCACCATAGTCTTGGTGGCGTGCTCCAGTCTGTCCGCTTCCACCCTGGCGATGACAAAGCGCGCCAGATTTGTGCTGGGCACCCGGTTTGTACCAGTGCCGCAGGTTGCGGACATTTGGTGGCTTTCTGTCCAGATGCCTAGCTTGATGCACCCGAGGTGGTCAATGTGCATGAAGGGCCAGAGATATCCCTCCCAGGTGGCGCGTGGCAGCTCTCGAGTATCTGTCATACCATGTCTTCGACTGGAGTTTTGAAGGTGCCTCCTTGACGGTTATCGAAGATGATGAAAGTGACAAGGAGAGCGTAGACAAAGGCCTGTTCTCGATGGGTATGCGTGAGCTGAGCTGACCCATGCCGCAGGTAGTGACGAAGAAGAGGAGGAAGAAGAAGAGGCCATGCTCTTGCCTCACGGAAGGTGGCAGCTCGCAAAGCTTCTTTTTTGTGAGGAACGCGTGCGAGTTCCTCTTCGAGTCAACATGCGCGTGGAGGCCGCTTGCTGTTCTGTCGCGCCTCAAAAGAAAGCAAGGTGCAACTGACCGGAGCATGAGAGGTCTCTGAGATGTTTTCGGGAGCTCGTGTGGCCTCAGCGTTTGGCTCAAGAAAAAAGACGAGCCTTCGAGCCTTCGGTTCGGGACATGACGGTGAACGACACCAAGGCAGCGATCCGCACCTTTAAGGCCTGCACCAAGGAGATCGGTGCTTCGGCAAGCCCCGAGATGTGGGCTTTTTCTTGCTCCTTTTTTTGTTGGTGCCTGGAAAAAACCATTTTCTTGCTTCTTTGGTTGGTGCGTTGAAAAGAATGGCAAGAAAGTGGCTCTGATGCTGCATGTGCCGTTTTCTGCAGGAGAAGGGAGCATCAGCTTGCATTGGCGAACGGAAGGCTCGGTAGCGAAAATCGCGTGAAGAGCTCGAGCGACTGCAATTTGAGGCAGCGGTGGAAGGTGTGGCCAGCGCTGTCAAGGGTGAATGCTCAGCTTATGTTGAGGAGAGGGGGCGTTTCGGGGCAACAAGCGATGTTGATTTGACATATCTACTTTTGTGCGTGCTAACGCACGCACTTTGCATTGCACTTTGCTTGCTCAAGAAAGAGGGCGGTTTGCGCCAGGACTTTTTTGCCTGCTTTGCGCACCGCTATCAGCTGAGCTCCTGCGGGGATGCTACGGTTTCCAAGATGCTGAAGTGTCAGGACGTCAAGTGTCAGAGCTTGGAAGTGTCACCTTGCAAGTGAGGTCAGTGTTTTTTGTGCTTGACCGCATTTGACAGAGCACATCTTTCTGTTTTACATTTGCAGTCACCATTTTGTGATTGCCAGGAGCAGTTCTCTGGACAGCTTCTGGGAAGCAAGTGAGAGTCCTCGACTGTAGTAAGTCACAGATCCTCCAACATCCGCAGGGAGTTTTGCAAACACTTGCTGCTTCCGTTTGTCTTGTCGGCATTTGGGATCTCGCATTACATGATATGATTTCTTTTTGGCAGAGCTGGCGAACGAGTGGAAAAGAGTGCGGCCTTGCCTTCTTCTCTTGCACCGCTTTCAAGCTTGTGTCACAAGACGCTTTGATGGGTGCTTTCAGGACACGAAGAGGAAGAAAAAGAAGAAAGTCTGCATTGGCGCTACTTGTTTGCTCTGGGACTTGCTTCTATTCGACTAGCAGCTTTGGATTGTGCTTTGATTTGTGGCCAAAGGGAAAAGGGGGCAACTCATGCTGGCTGCCAAAGGTCATCCTGGAGTTGGGTGACAGCGAAACCAATGTGAAGTACGAGGCACGTGAGCAGTGATAGGTTGAATGGGGTTGGCCTGTATGTTTAGTGAGCTTGCTACGCCGGCCGCCGACATTCCTTTGCAAGTCTTTCTCTGCGCAAATAAAAGCGAGTTTCTTTTTCTTCTTTGTATTTTCGCTTTTGGCATCTTGGCTTCCTGGCTTCTTGGCTTTTCGGCTTCTTGGTTGTTGGCTTTTCGGCTTCTCGGCTTCTTGGCTTCTTGGCTTCTTGGCTTCTTGGCTTTTTGGCTTCTCGGCTACTTGTTGGTTTATGCGGCTTTTGGTAGTATCCTGTGCATTCCCAGTTCCTCTTCGGCAGGTGGCGTTTTGGCTTTTGCAGCTTTTCGCAGGTTTATGCGGATTTTGGAAGCTTTGGCTTTTCGCATCCTCTGCTTTCCCAGCTCCTCTCCGGGCTTTTTGGCTTTTGCACCCTTTCATTGGTGTTTTGGACTTGGCTTCCTGCAAAGCATCGCCAGTTCCTCCCTATTTGGAATCATCACTTCTTCGAACATCATGAAGGGGCTCCCCCCCCCCAACCCACCCGCTACTTTTTAGACTGTTTGCACAGCAATTGCACCCCTATTTGAATCAACACTTCTTCAAACATCATGGTGGGGGCTGCCGCCTCCCCCCCCAACCCCCCCGCCGCTACTTTTTAGTTTTCTTGCAGAATCATCACTTTTTCGAGCTTCCAATTTCGCGAGAACATGCTGTAAAATACGACATTTTAGATAATCTATGTAATCCAATGTATGTCTTTATGTATGCACTTCTTCGAACACCATAGGGGAAGCCACCCCCGCCAACTCTCCCGCTTCCCGCTCCTTTTAAATTCTATTGCACCCTTTCTTGAATCATTGCACCCCTAGTTGAATCATCACTTCTTCGAACATCATGGGGGGGGGGGGCTGCGCCCCCCCAACCCCCGCTACTTTTTAGATTTTCTACAGAGATTTAATTGCACCCCTATTTGAATCATCACTTCTTCGAACATCATCGAGCGCCCCCCCCCCAACCCCCCCGCTACTTTTTAGACCTTTTGCAGAGATTTAATTGCACCCCTATTCGAATCATCACTTCTGCGAACATCATTGGGGGCGGCTGCCGCCCCCTCGCTACCTTTTTTTTTGCAGGAATTGAAATGCCCTCCTATTTGAATCATCATTTTTTTAACCCCGTCAACTCGCCAGCTACTTTTTGATTTTGTTACCCACGATTTGTTGGTGATGCCAGGGTGTCGGTCGGAAATGCGGGGGATGTTGAAAACGATGCTGGGGATGTTGAGGGGCTAGTGCAAAATGCGTCAATTTCGAGAAAATGCTGTAAAATACGACATTTTCCTGGCTCTCAAAAAGAATCTGAAAAAAAAAATACAAAAATAAATCTCACCCAAATAAAAGCCTGACTACTTGAAGACAAGAGAAAGCAACCATGTTGAGGATGTTTCTCAGCGAACGCTCTGAGACAAATGGGAATTCAATAAAAGGGCGGTCTTGAAGTATGCCTTGTTGGGAACACATGTTTAATCGAAGAGCGCAATGATCAGAGCCGTCATCCGGAGCCTCAATAAATTACAAAGTCAACGTCAAGAATCAGGCACTGGCAGCATCACCGGGGATGCAGAAGGGGAAGCTGGGAATGCAGAAGGGATTCATTGCATTTTTTTTTGGTTCGTGAATGTGTGACCACTGCCATCAGAATCTGCCATGTTCATGCTTGAATGCAACATGACTCTTATGTTCGGGGAATCCGAGGAGAAAATGCATTTGCATCCACGAGCCCCGTTTGCCTCGCGCATGCTCTCACGCGCACAAGTGGCAGGCGCAGCGGATCTTTTGCATGCTCATGCCCGCGCACGTAAACAGGCGCACGCGCGCATTCACACGCACGCTGACATTCACGCTTTCCGACGCAGCTAGGCATGCCTTTTTTTTTTCTCCCCCCTTTTCCGGTCACGCACACAGCGCTCGCTTGGTTGCATGAACACTGGCACAAATGCTGAATTAAATACATGCATTCCCGCCTGGGCCGCCTGAACCCGCATGCTGACGCACACACACACACAGACAATTTGCACATTTGTCGTGGAAGCTGGCTTAGGATGAACACAAATAGGCGCCTGAGCTATAGATCTTATCCAATCCTGGCTGTGGAGTGGCTCTAAGGGTTGCTGGAGGTTGCGGGTATACTTTTGAGCTTTTTGAGTTTTGCACAAGGACGGCCGCACCAAGCGCGTCGCCAACACCCGTTTGCGCCCGCTGGAGCGTGCAAGGGATCCTAGCATGACAGAGGCACCAGTTGGACCCTGCGGGCTGGACCAGACGAAGGCAACAAGGCGATGTCTATGGTCAAGTCAAGGAAGGACATGAACGCTTTTTGGGTTTTGAAATGAGAGTCAGAGCTGCATGGAAGCCTTGAAGATTTGTCCCGTGCAAGAGGATTACGTTTCTTCAGTGCCTGCTGAAACCAAGCGCTGGCAAAGACATTCAATATTTCGAAGGTATCTGGTCTGACAGTCAGCCAGATGGGCTTCATTGAGCGCACGATTTAAACGTGGTGGTGACAGGATCAAAAGGATCGCTGGCGGTTTTGCTAGTCACGCTGAGTTTTAATGGATGCCCAGCAAGAGACCATTTAAGGGGTGCTGCTATCCGAAACGCAGGAGTTTCGTGTGAGCACGATTGTAGCACTGGGGTCTAATGGCAGATCAAGCAAGGGCATTTGCGGAAGGCGCCCCTGACACCTCGTTGAGCGCCGAGTCAGAACAGCTCGTCATTCACGGCTTCCTCAAAGAATGCACTGCCAGTCAGATTTGTAGTGTGTGCGTGTAGTTGGCACTTGTTAGAACAGTTCTTTGTCTAGTGATAACTGTCAGCTTTGGAGGGATATGTACATTAAGATCGGATGTCTACTGCTATTGCCATTGCTGGACCCTTTGCTTCTTTGTGTGCTTGCAGTTTGGCCGACAAGGGACACTTGCATTGTAGTATTTGCAGCTGCTTGTGCGCTTTAATCATCCATGAAAAGGCATCATGAGTGTGAATGCCCTTGGATTGTTTTGCTATGTTTGTGATACCTTGCGTTGAAGTAGCATGTCCCCAAACGGTGTAAAGCTACTCTCATGTCTTGGAGGGTCTGGTGCCTGCTTACATGGCTGTCAGCGCCCGCTCAGGTCACTCGCGATGCGACTGGCTATTCAGGTGATAGCAGCTTCAATGCTTGCCTGGCCTGTTGCGCGGGCTGACTCTGCCAGTAAGCAGGGCTGACGTCTGTGGGTTTCCCAGAACAGTTGCCCCACAGGTTTCAAAGTTCCTAGTCAGGGGCGTGTGTTTCTGTGTTGACATTGCTGAAACCGTGTAGGTGGTATTAAGCCAGAGTTTTGGGCAGGTTTGCTAGTACGTGCAAGCCCTTATTTCTTGCTTGAAGATTGTGAATTTTGAGATGCTTTCATCAGGCTCGCCTCGTTTTTGGTTTGACCTCACGGAACTAAAAAATGAAAGTGGGTGCCACTAAACCACTCGGCTGTGCCAGGACTTCCGCTTCACCAAAAACTGCCTGCCGACCGGCATTGAGGAGCGGATGCAGGATATTGACATCATTCTTGGCTCTTCCGCCAAGGTCAAAATCATGGTTTCCAGGTAGTCAGGTAGGTTTGGATGACACCTAGTACATATACAACAATACGTACATATATATATATATACACATATATGTATATATATATATATGTATATATATATATATACATATTTAATATGCATATTTTCTTACTAGATGTACATCTTGAGAACCATGGTGAGCCTTCCCTTCCTCAGAGCCAGTTCCTGCCGATGGGTTGAAAGTTGTGGAGCGACAGGTGGTAGGTGATGGAGCAGATTTGGAGAAGAATCGAGCTGGTGCGAATCCGAGCTGCGCGGCTTTTTTTCGGTGAGGCTACAATTGCGTGTGTGTGTGTGTCTAAACGAGGAGACTCTCCATGGTGGTGGTTTTACTCTTGGTTTCGCTTTAAATTAGGGTGATAGGGGTACCCTCAAAGAGATGCAGACTCCAATTGATGGAGCTCGACAAGTGCTTCAAGAGTTGAATGAGGTCAGAGCTACCTAAACCTCAAGAAGTATCTTGACTGCACCAAACTTGCTGGTGCTCAGGGCATGAGGGAATGACGAATGACCCCTATGAACAAATGACTCCACAGGTTGATTCCCTCATTCCCCGCTGAGTCCGCTGAGAGGCAGCAAGCAAATCTCGATGTTCAACTTGCTGTCGTCGCTCCAAGGAACACCTACCTGAGGGTTCCTTTGCGAGGGCTCCGCCACGAGAAGTCACGGACTTGGGCTTTTGGGCTTTTGGCTTGGAAGGGGAGCCGGAAAGCTATGTCTCGCAGCGCCCAAATGGACAAATGGGGTGTTTTAGAATAGACCTTCCAAAAAATGGTGAGTTTCTTTTTTGGTTTTCCGTTCAACAGTACTATCCCAAAATAGACGGACAATTCATCGATCCCAACCGACAGAACTAAAGGCGCACGGCTCAGGCTGCGCCCTGGTGAGCCGATCCCTCGATACACCCTGTCGCTGGAGGCTCGTACTGTGCACTTTGAACGCATTCCTCATGGCTTGTGGGTGTGGGTCAAAATTAGACCACCGGGGGACCCCAGGTTTGCCTCCTGGGTTCCATTGACCAGGGTTCCATTTTGGGTACCCATTTTTGTCTCGCAGCCTTGTCCTGAAAAGGAGTGAACCACCCATTTTAGAACCTATTTTAGTGGTTGGATTGGGATGTTCACTGGGGGTACGATTCGGGTTTTGACCCATAGCCACATGGATTGAACGGCACCTTGCCGGCGCAGGTCCGCCTGGCCGACAGCCACCGGCGGTTAGGGGACTCCCCCTGGTGCGCCATGGGGCTTTGTGAAGCTGGGCTTTGGGGCTGTGCGGTTTGGAGAGGTCGCTGTTCCAAGCCAGCTTCCCGGATCCGCACTCCACGGATGAGCTGTGCGTGGCCCGGGCCTTTGCAATCGATGAATGAATTACTTAGTCGTGAACAGTGGAGGAAAGCGAAGGATGTTTAGGTAGGTATTGCGTGCTGCACACTTCGGCTTTGAACCTCTTCTGACAGCTTTTTGTGATTGCAAGCCGAGCTTGTGACGAAGGTCGCGGAGGACAAGCCGCACAAACGCAAGTGGAAGGCACGTTGCCTGACAGCCGCGCGCCCGTGTTGTCGGCTTTTTCAGGTGCTGACAAAGGAGAACGGCTTGCTGGTTAGTGCGGATGCAGATCCGAACTCAAAGGCGCGAGCAATGGTTGCCGTCAATGTATGACGACACCCGTCATTTTGCTGGCAGGAGCTGTGCAGGCTGCCAGCCAATGCCGTGGTTGTAGAGGTGCCATTTGTGAACAATTGCATCAATGGATGTCAGACTTGGTAATGCACAGTTTATTTATATAGGGAGGTGTCCCCCGGTGTAGTGGGGAATCGCTTTTGGAGGGGAACACCCCCTCTCAATAAACTGAGGTTGCTTCCTAGGGGGTCAACATTATGCTGCACGGATTTCCACTGGAAAGGATGGCATTCCGCCCAAGCGGTTGCCAACTGGCGAGCGCCGGCTTCGAATCCGCTACAAGGCGCGTCTCCGGTTTTCATGGCGCCGTGAGATTGGGAGTGCCCAGGCTGATGCTGCGAAGCAAGCAGAAGGCGACCTGATTGATGCCATGGAGCCGGAGGAGTATGTCGTAGAGGTGGAAGCAGGACGGAGATTCCGTCATGAACATTTCCAAACTGGGACTGCAAGCTAGAGAGTGAGACATAGAAGCCGGATTGGTCTCTCAGCTTTCATGTACATCGTTTGGGGTTTGGCGGAGGTCGAAGTTGGGAAGTTGTCACAAGCCAGGATACTTCGGAGGTCACTGTGGCACAGCGGCCACCTCCATCCGAGTGTGCTCGAAGGGGGTGCCCCTTGACCTCCCCCCGCTTTTTCCGTCAAAACCCTCTCGCTCCGCAAGCGAAGCCGTTTTCACTTCTCGTGTTTGGGCCAGGTATTGAAGACCCTGAACTTCAGGCCAGGAGTGGAGGGCGGGTCAGCAGGCATCGACAGCGAGCCGGGCAACAACATGGGTCTGCGCCTTGTGGCATGAAGTTCATGCAACGTCCGGAGCTTCGCTTTGAAAGCAAAACTTAGCTTGCCTTGCCTTGAGGCTGGACTCCTCGAGACCGCACCATGCACGTAGTGCGGATCACGATACGCAAAACCGGCCGGGCCCCCAAGTTCTGCCAAGACGGTTTTTGCGGAGAAGTAGTGTATGAAGATTGTAAGCAGATGCCCAGCATCTGTTCAAAATCTTTGTACGCTATAGAAGCAATGGGCAAAGGCGGGGTTTTCCCTCTTTGTCCAGAGGGCTGGGTTTGCATTTCCACGAAGGCTGGCACTCCTTCGAGATCGTGGACGGCACGGATGTGGAGAAGACCTGGTCGAAGGACTTCAAGGCATCGCGAAGCTTCTGGGCCGTTTTTCTCACTTGCAGGGGGACTGGGGACTGGCAGGTCCTTGGATGGTTTGACGACTACAAGGGCTGGAGACTTGGGTTTCTCTCATGAGATCAAGAGGGTAGATGCTTCAACCGAGGCATCTCGGGCATCTCCATCACCGATCCTGACAACGAAGAACTGGAGCTGGGCAAGGTGGGCTTTGGCAATGCAGAACGTGGTTGGTCTATGGCCGTTTTACGAAAGAACATTTATGGGGGCAATGCAGAAAGTGGTTGGTCTATGGCCGTTTTCCTGTGGCGTTCTTGAAGCTGACACATCAAACAGGTCCGTACGGAAACGACCACCGACAAGGTAGGCAGCAACTAGTCGGTCGACCGAAGGTGTCTGCCGAGCAAGCAAAGTGAAAATCGTCTGCAGGTCCAATGCAGAAAGGAAGCAAACGTAATGACAACTTCAACCAGTATTCGAGGTGGGAGTTAGATTTGGCTCTTGAAGGAGGAATGCAGAACATACAGAAAGCTCCAAGCTCATCTTTACCAGTGAAAGTCCTGGAGGCGTAGCCTCATCTAGCATGAAGGGCCCGTAGACAGGCAGCCGGCAGCCATTTTGCTGCCCAAGCATGTCGGGCAGGAGCGTGAGTACCACAACAGCGGAACCCACAAGCTGCGCCTGCGGAGGATGGGGGAGGCTGGGGAGCGGGAAGAAAAACAAAGGCGGAAGCTGCATGTGGAGAGGTGACGGCCGATGTGGACGACAAATTCGATCCTCGTGGTTGGGCCAAAGCCCAAAGCGACCGCAGGGTCTGAGTGGAGTCAAGTTGCCTTGCTTGCAGCTGCAATAAATGAGGTCACAATCCGCAAGACAGACCTGGAATTGGTTGAGGACACAGGGGCACGTGCCGTGGAAGGAAGCAAATCACCGACGGAGAGTGGGAGAGTGTGCAACTCAAATTTGGAAAGGCCTTTCCTGGTTCGAACACTTCTGAGGGTGATGGGAGCACAATCAGTTTGCAGGCAAACAGCTGGCTTGCAGTTTGAACTGCTTCGGTACCTCGTTTTCTTCCCTGTTGGGGTCTTCTATTCTAATAATTGCTCCCAGCCGCAAGATGGTGTGATCCTAGTACCCCTGCTGTTTCCCCACTTGTCTCCTCCACTTGTCTCCCTGCTTGTGCTTGTCTCGCTGCTTGCCCTTGGTGACTCGGACCTTGTCACGGCTTGTCTCGCCGCTTGTCTCTGGCTTGATTTGTCTGCCCGAATGGTTTCTAATTGGTTGTTGGTCCAATTTAACACAGCTGGAGTGCGCCATTGCTTGGGGTGGATGCTGGTCTTATTTTTTGGGGACCCCCAATTGTGGTTTTCGGTTTTCCTTTTTGTCTGTGTTAATTTTTGGCAAAGCCCAAGGGCACCCTCATGAAATGACACCCCTTTGTAGGAGCCCCATGGCCAGAAGCCCGCCAAGGGCCCTCAGTGCTTTGCCTCAGCTGGCGTGAGTCACTTGGAGTCCAAAGGAAGCCCTACGCTGCGTGCTACGTGCTGCACGAGGCGTCGGCAGATGTTTTTTTTTGCCCCGAGGTGCTTCCTGAGGGCTGGTCTTGCCGAGCGACCCACTACCAGCAACAGGCCTGCAAGGGAGCAGGCAATGAAGTAAACATGATTGGAGTTGCAAATAGCTTTGAAGGGATGCAAACACGTTGCTGATCGCTCGAAGTACATTAGCTTGGAATCTGCGTGAAGTTGACCAGTTCCATGGAGACCGAATCGAGACGAGTTTGCAACAGAGGTATCTTCGATCAGATCGATGGCACACAATCACTGTCACGTCGGACTGCACAGATCGCACGGTTTTGCACTCAGGCCATTTTGGCTCCCCTCTGCTCGCAAATGTCATATCCCAAGGTTCTGGTCTTCCTGGATGGCGTGCAAGCAACAGAAAAGGAGATCAACATTGGTTTGGGCCTTGGTTTGGACTTGTTTGGACTGAAGTTTCAGCTGTGTCCACGGTTGCGGTGGCTTTTCAACGGCGGGCGCTCTCAGGCGCCACTGCTGCTGGACTTGGATCGGATGATGCGGGAAGAAGGGTGCAGGGCGTCCGGCTCAGAATCCCTGCCATGGGGCTCTCATGCCTTCGGCAGCTGCAATTTCTCAGCGTCAGCCAATTGGAGGCACCGCAGGTGGCTTTTTGGGACCGTCTTTGGCTCAAATCGAAGCCCGAAGCCGCTTTGCAGTCCCCGAGTTGCCGCATGTCATCCTACAGCTCGGAGTCGTTGAGGACCTGAGTGCTTGAAGTGCCGAGTTCCCTGGTAGCGCAGCACCTGCCACCCCATGGGATGCATTTTGCCAGGATAGCCGGTGATGGAAAGGAGCGCGGATCTTCCCTGGCGCTAACTGCCACATCCTTAATCTTACTAGACCTGAAGAGTTGAGGGGGGCACAAGTTAGCCAGCAGCATCAAGGTAACTACGCTTCTGAAGAACATGTCCCTCGGTATGATGCCGTGCTGCTCAAAGCAAAGCTCAGTACGGGAGCTTGAATTGTCGCCTTTTTCACTTTGCGGACAGGTCTAAGACACATTCAAGCCCAAGTGTTTCACGTGCAACCTTTGGCTCTTTGGTCAAGAAACATTTGCTGCGATGAGACATGCTTAATGGACTTCAAAGCCAATCCTTTGGGGCATTTTCGGTTTGTGCCGCTACACGATTCAAGCACGCCTCAAGCACGGGGAAGGATTTGGTTTTACGCGTATCTGGTCCTAGGATCGGCGCCGGCATCTTCAGCCTGCCCGTGGGGCTGCGGCACGCGAGCGTTGTTCCGGGGCTGATCACGCTGGCCAGCATCGGGCTGCTGAGCGCGGGCTCCTATTGGATGATCGGGTACTGCTGCCTGAGCTGCGGGGTGAAGACCTTCCGGGAGCTTTGGAACGCCGTGTTGGGCGAAGGCTCGGCCTGGGTCATCGACCTCACCATCTTCCTCAACGGTTGGATCACCTTGGTCTGCTACATCATCTTGATTGGCGACTTCACCACCAAGTCTTTTGGGGGCCTTCTGGGGCCAGATCATATTTTGGCCCGGAGCCGACTGCTGAGCGAAACCGTCATCACCCTGGCGGTGCTGCTGCCCTTGTCGTTGGCGAGAGATCTCCGGCGCTTGGCCTTCACATCGATCCTGGGCTTGGTCGTGCTGGTCTACGTAGTTTTTCTCGTGATCCAGGATTCACTGCTGCATGCTCCTCCGGAGCTGAGTCCGGAGGTTCCCATGTGTGAGTGGAGTATGGGCAACTTTGAAGCCATCGCTCTGTACTGTCACGCCTTTGTGGCACATTACAATGCGCCCAAGGTTTTTTCCGAGCTCGCAAGTCCCACCCTGGCACGCTGGACAGTTTTGGTGAGCATTGCTTACAGTATCGCTTTTCTGGTTTATGCGGAGTTTGCCTGGGCTGGATATCGCCGCTTTGAGCGGTCAGTGGAGGGCAACATTTTGAGAAACTATGGGCCGCAGCTGAAGGTCTTCGTGGCCTGGCTGGGCATGGGCTTCTCCATCGCTTTCACTTATCCCCTGGTTTTCAACTCCGCCCGGGAGGCCGCGGTGAACCTGACCTGCATGGTGCGGCAGTGGCTGCCCTCCCTGGAGAGCTCCCCACAGCTGCAGCGCTTGCGGAGCGGCTTGGGGGGCCTGGGGCTGCGCGGCGAGACGCTGGCCAGCATCCTGGGCCCGCGGCCCTCGCGGCAGCGGCCGGGCACCAAGACCACGCCAGGGCCTTGGCGAAACACGGGATTTTGGAGGAATGAGGGGTAGTGGCCTCAGATGTTGGCCACACAGGAGGTTGGCAGCCACTGGGCCCAAAAGCACACGCCAATCTGAGCCACAATCAAAACCCGGTAGACCCGAGTAGATGAAGGTTAGTAGGGGACAGTCCCGGCCAGAAACCTTGGCGGCCTTGTATTTCCTGCGCGGGTTCAGGCTGAATGAAAGACCAATTTTGGTAGGTGGGCGGTGTGGAGATTGCCTTCTTTACATCACAAGGCTTTGTAGCGCACGATGAGCCTGAGATGGCCTTGAGTTTGTCGGCAAGGCCGTATTCAGGCCTGATTTGGAGGCTCCAGGGACATCGGGGTCACTAAGCCGAGGTTCGTGCTGGTCTTCTTGACCTATGCCGTGGCAGTGAGGTGCGAGGACGTGGGGGTGGCCAACGCCTTGGCGGGCTCCGTCATGGGATGCGGCTCGGTTTGCGCCTTTGTTTGCTTTTTGGGCTTTGGGCTTTGGGCCTTAGCCTTGGGCCTTGAGCCTTGGGCCTCTTGGGGTTGCAAGACTTTGAGCTTTGCAATCCGCAAGGCCCCCTTTTGCGCTTGGGTTCAGGCATGGTGTGCTTGACCCTGCCTGGCCTCCTGTTCTTCAACACGGCTCGGAAGCAGAGCCGGAGGCAGGCCAAAGGTGGCTTACAGGCTCCGCTTCTGCCCCAAGGACTGGTGTGCCATTCTTTTTTTGGGGGGGGTCAGGTGCAGGCTTCGCCGTCCAGTGGCAACATTGGAGGGCACTGAGTATCGCGCTGTACCCAGGAGCTTCCAAGGTGAAGGCCGGCTATGTGGCGCTGATTCTGGCCCAACTTGCCGGTGTGGTGACCTTTGTGGCCGGCATTGTATTCACCGTGGTCGGCACGGCCGCGGCCCTACAGTAGAAGACCGCAGCGGGGAGTCAGCGCAGAAACTGTAAGTGGTCTCTGTGGTTATGGGCCCGGACAAGATTCTTTCTCATGACATGCCCAACACACTGCAAGAACGGTGACAGGATATTTATGATCATCACGGACGTGTCACTTGTTTGGTGCAGGCAGTATCCCAAACCGTGCAGTTTTCTCCAACGGAATGATTTGGGGAGGATAGTTGAGCGACTGCCTTTATTGACAGAAGGCTAGAGTAAAGGCCGGGAGGAGCCATTTTTTGGGTAGCATGACTTAGGTGCAAAGCGAGGTAGGAACACCGGGCATGACACATAAATGAGTGGACTGCTAAAAAAGGCCCTGAACTTCAATAGAATAAGGAACCACCTCCAAAGTGGTTGGTGGACATGAATCGTCAAAATGATGTCCACCAGAGGGGTCCCCTATTACAATTCACACCCATATGATCAGAGCCATGAGAAGCCGCCCACACCTTGCCTATGGGAAGTCCGTTCGCTTGGGCCTTCCACTAAGATTTCAGCCAGCGCACAGGTCGTGCTGTGCTGTAGGCAAGAGACCGACTCTGTCGATGAACTTGACATTGCTGCAATCAGAGAACACGTCTTAGTTTTTGAAGGGCTTTCTGAATGAAAATGAGAGTTTGCGAGGCTGTAATCCTGCTGCATCAGCAGTGAAGGCGGTGGAATGCGGTTTCAGTTTCACGCCTGAAAGCAGAGGCAGCGGCAAGCGACATCGTTTCGTTTCTATAGCTGTGGCTTGACCTGTCCCTGGCAAATAAGACCTTGCTTTCCGGGCAAAAAGGCCACAGGCGGTGCCAGGATATTGCCAGCCCAAGTGCACCAAGCATTCCAAGCATTCATGTTTTCCGCATAATCGCTTGGCGCAGTAGGTCCTGTCAGCCCTTTGGAGATGCTGACGACCAGCCTGAGCGCAACTGTTTCTCCATACGCTGTGCCGCAGGCGCAACATATCTTTTGTGATGTAGATGCCCCCCCACCAACTCCCAATAAACAACCATGGCAGTCCTATGAATGCGCATTACGCAATACCTTTGCTGCTGTTGTTTTTCAAACTTGCGGTGCGCAGGCAGGCTTTCTCCTGTTCGCCAGCAGCAGTGCTCGTGGGATGCCGGGAGGTATCATGTTGCCATGAGCTTACCCTGGGCCCTGTGGTGATTCCATTGCGAGCTTGCGGCAAGGAGACGGATCACCTTCTACAATACGACATTGGGTAGCCAGCAAGTGGAGGAGAACTCCGGGGGACGCGGGAGGCAGTGTTGAGACTTGCTGAGACATGTCCGGCAGCCACAAGCCTTGAAGGAGCAGTACCTCAACTCTCGCTACCAGCGTGAGAAGAAGCCGCCGCCACAACAGCTTGCCCTCAGCCAGGGCCTGGGATGAGAGCTGAAGAGCATGTGCAGCCACTGTTGTGTAAGGTCCAGCCATGAAGAAGCCGCTGGCTCGACTGCAGAAGCATACTGTAGAGACCTTCAAGACACCGATTGGGCTTTGCGACATTGAGACACAGTCAGAAGGGTTGGGAGGGATTCTTACTGGGTTGCCTGCACGAGGTCAGCGCCGTATCTCTGGGTGCACGGTTCCTTCCTTTGCGAATTTGCTGATTGCTTCATCTCCAGTGTTGGGCTCAGTCAAATCTCCTTGGGAATCTGGCCTTGTTCAGGTAGGATGTCTTTGTATGCCATAAACATTTTCATGGTGTCTCAGACCAGATTCTGCAAGGGTTTGCCTGTCAGCTCTTTGAAACATGTGAGGTGCGGGTGGAGACTTGGTTCACCTTCTCCGGGCGTTTACCCTCGGTCTTGAGGGTGCCTGCAAGAGTATCAGCGGCGGCCTCAGGTCTATGAACAAATTGGTGTGGGTCAATCTTAAACCACTGGGGGACCGCAGATTTTAGTCCATGTTTCCATTTACCAGGGTTCCATTTTGTGTACCTTTTTCGGACCCACCGCCAAATCAGGGTATGATGAACTTCCTAAAAGTCGAGAACGGGTGCTTGTCATTGGGGTGCGGCAGCTGCCGGCAAGGTGACAGCCCTGCTGGTGGCAAGCCGCTCTGGTAAGCCGGCCCTCTTATTCTGTCTGTGGGAAGGAGGGGTGCTGCCAATGCTCTGGGGTGTCTTGGTCGTGTGGATTCCCTCTTCCATTCAATGGCTTGGTGCCGCCCGTCGGCTTTTCTGACTGCCAGGTCACCGGATCAGCAAACCGCGCTGCTGGACGCAGTGGAGCTCTTTCAAAGGCATCACACTGAGGATGTCCTGATGATCCAGAGCTTGTGCCCGACAGGTCAGAACCTCTCTTCAAGAAATGGCAGCCGCTTTGGACAGCAGAGGAGTCGGCTTCCAACATGCAAAGCGATCCACTGTGCACATGCACGCACATGCACACAGATGGGCGAACAAGTTCCGCTTCAGCTCCGCTTCAGCAACTACACCTCAGAAACTACGGCTGAGCAACCAAGTAAGCGTGAGCTTTAGAAACTCCGGCTCAGCAATTACAGTTCAGCAATCAAAAGCTAGGCTGCTTCAAGTATATACCCGACCTTGCCACGCAATCTGCACGAAAGTGCTGCGCCTGCCACACAATTTTTACCTAACCCTGCGAAAGTGCTGCACCTGCCACGCAGTTGAAACCTTGCGAAACCTCTGCGTTGCCGTGCCAATGGGCGGTGCACGGCGCACAGAATCCGAAGACACGCCGCACCCGTGCCAGAAAGGCGTAACACTACCTTTCCCTCAGACCGCTACGGAAGTTCCTTCTAGACTTCTACTTGTGCGGGTGCACATCCCAATTATATTGGACACTCTCAAATCAGCTGTTCTTTTGACTAGCCAACGGAGCGGCGTTCGATTGAAGCGAGGAGCACGCGGTTCCTTCGCTGGCAGCGTCATATGTCCGACGGCTTCAAACGGTGCGGCAGAACTTGCGCCGGGGCACCCAGTCATGAGCCACTGCTTGAAGCAATGAAACTGGGGACCTTCTTGGTACATTTTTGAGACAGCCATCACTTTCATTGTCTTCCAGAAAATGACTTTGCCTTGACGACTGCCATTGGCAATCCAGAGGTTGCCTCTACTGACTGAGGAAATCAAGGGGGTCGCCAGGAGCCTACAGCTCATGCTGCGCCAAGTCAAAGCTGCGCCTTTTGGAGCCAAAGCAGGCTGAATCACGGGGAAAATGCAAATCCTATGGGAGATAGAGGCAAGGAGGAAGGAATATGATTACTTTTAGAGCAGGTGACCTTGTCAGCGACCTTGCGTGGAACTGGCAGCACGTTTTGCGGGTCAGCTGACCTGAATTGAGGCTTGCTCATCCCGCTTGGGATTAAGACCCTAGACGTCGGTGCTCAGCCAGGGAGCTAAGACCAACAGCATTTTAAAATGAAGCCGGCCAAGGGGAGAGTCATTTTTTTGGGACCCTATGTTTTTTTCTGGCTTGAGAAGAAGGGCTCATCGCCTGTAGCAATCAGCAAACAGTGCCTGATTCTGGCTTTGTAAAGCTTCTTGCTTTGCATACGTTGTGTAGCATTCACATTATGATTTCATTTCTGAGTACTTTGGCTTGATTTTGTCTTTTGCGGTGACCTGGAAGATGGTGGCTCCCAAATGAACATTAGATTCAGCTGCACCTGGTGGGACGCGGTCAATTTTCGAGACTGCAAGTGCCTACCATCTAGGATGATCATGCTGATTCTGGAGAAGCGGGATGCGCAGGACAGTCTCATTGTAGTGTGGAATGCGTTCACTGTGCTGCGAAGCTGGATGGAAGTTGC